TTTTCACAGGCTCTAGGGCGTGTGGACTTCGGTAGCTGGTGACATGTGGGCTCAGAAGTTGTGGTGCATGGACTCAGTTGTCCAGTGGCATGTGGAATCTTCCTGGACCAGGGATCGAACCCGTGTCCCCTGCACTGGCAGGCAGAGTCTCAACCATTGGAACAGCAGGGAAGTCCCTGCCACTCATTTCAGATCTCTCTCCCCTTTAGCTTACCTGGTAAGTTGACCCACTTCCTAATTTCTTTTCCCCTTCAGCTTCATTGAGATATATTTGACATATAATACCATGCATTAATAAGTCCAAGGTGTACAATGTGATAATTTGATACACATTCAAACCCTCATTTCTAAGGTGTTTGGTCTTGACAGTTGGTCACCAGACCCTTACCAGGCCATGGTTGCTAAACTTATAGTTCAGCTGGGTATAAGAGTAACAAGAGATGCTCCAGTAGATCACCTGGATGCCAGGTATATTCCTCTATGTCCTCATTATGTAGCACAGCCCTCTCTCCTCATGATGATTAGCATCAATTATCCCTGCCAAACACTTTGTGCAGTTTACTTGTGCTCTCTGGACTAGGTCAGACTTGATCCTAGATGTCTCACTTTCCCTTTATGATGTGTTACTGCTGGGCCCACTTCATCTTATAATCTGGTAGGTTAGATAGAACTCAGCTCATAATGCGAAATTCAAACTACATGGTCATTCAACATCCTATGGTCAGACACTTCTGTCCAGATGGTATACCCTTCCTCTAGAGTCAGAAGTCTGAGCTACAACTCTCCCATTGTGGATTATCAGAAGTCTCATATGGCATATTTCTTTACCAAAGACAATTGTAGCAGCACACAGTCAGCTGGGGCAAGGGGCCCAAGTAGCCAGGCTGCTTATATTGTAGCCCGACACTGCTGAAGCGCTTTCTTATTCTGGACCCGCTCAGAGCTCGAGAGCCTCAATGTGTCAACAGACAAGACCACCAGGTCACCACTCAGCCTCTAAAACAAAAAATACAAAGTTCAATTATTGCTTACTTATGTACATGCTGATTAGGCTTAGTTTCTCCAAGAAAAGCAGACTGTTCATCTTAGAGTTTTGGGAGAGCATGGAATTCAGAGACTGTAGATTTTCAGAGGCATGAGTGGGTTGATATAGTCTTAATAAGTGTGGTTTCTTGGGTGAATTGGCTGGCATTCAGAAGTATGTTCGTTGGAATGGGTCAAGTCTTGACTGGCTGACTTAGAAATAAGTCTTAGAAATAAGGAGCTGTCACTGAGTGATTCGCTTACAAAAAAGCATGTTCATTATGTCATTGACTGATGTATCAATACTGATTGAGTAAAAGTGTTTAAACCTGTTCTGGTGATTTGTTACCAAGGGTATAGAGCTCTCATTTATTGATTAGGCAGGTTTAAAACAGATTCTTGCTTGGTACCATGACCTCAAAAAACAGTCAATCTTTTCATAATAATGTGGAAACTTTTTAAAAAAGTATTTATTTTTGGCTGCATCAGGTCTTAGTTGCAGTACGTGGGATATTTGTTGTGGGCCTGAGGGTTCAGTAGTTGCAGTGTGCCGTCTTAGTTGCCCCGCAGCATGTAGAATCTTAGTTCCCAACCAGGGATGGAATCTATGTCCCCTGCACTGGAAGGCAGATTCTTAACCACTGGACCACCAGGGAAGTCCCAGTAATATGGAAACTTTTAAATTCTGTTTTCCCTTTTGATTTTTCATTCAGCCAAAACTCATAGAGTTTTGAAGCCGCTCGAGAAATATGACCCGTGATTTCTGAGGCCTGACCAAGAAAACAAGTTCAAACAACTTCTTGAGTCTACTACCTAAGACAGCCAGGCTGTTTTCTTCTAGCTTAGATGTAAACTGTTCCATTTCCCTGCAATGTTGGTTGATGTAAAATATGAAGTTGGGGGCCAGATGGTATACCTATGATGTAATATGTGAATCCCATCATAATTTTGTTTTTCTGTTCTGTAAGAGGTTCTTGCCTAAGAACTTTAGACCCAGCAGCTTGTTAGCATGAAGTGAAAGTGAAAGTCACTCAGTCATGTCCATCTCTTTGTGACCCCATGGACTACACAGTGCATGGAATTCTCCAGGCCAGAACACTGGAGTGGGTAGCCATTCCCTTCTTCAGGGGATCTTTCCAACCCAGGAATCAAACCAGAGTCTCCTGCACTGCAGGTGGATTCTTTACCAGCTGAGCCACAAGGGAAGTCCAAGAATACTGGAGGGGGTAGCCTATCCTTTATCCAGCAGATCTTTCCAGCCCAGGAACTAAACTAGGGTCTCCTGCACTGCAGGCAGATTCTTTACCAACTGAGCTATCAGGGAAACCCATTAGCATGAATACCTGCTAAAGAATTGCCTTTAGCTTCTGAAGTAGGAGAAAGGGAGTAACAGAAGCCAGAAAGGGCAGGAATAAAGTTAAGCAAGGATGTGTCTTGGTTGGAGTCTAGTTTTAGACTGATCCACAGGGAAACTCTGAAGGACAAACTATGTTCCACTTTAAGTTAAGGGAATTGATCTTTTATCCCTGTGTCAGTAAGTTAATGATTGGGGAGTGGGAATCAATTCATAGCCTCCCAGGCAAAAATGCTTCCCTTACGGTTGAGAGAAGTCCTCCGAAGAAAGGCAAAGTTGTGAGTTGTTATTCATCAAGATTTATAGAAGCTAGGGTATGGCAGCTACTACAAGTAGGTAAATAGATATGGGCAGGGCATCAACATTATCTGATATATTAATATCCCTGAATATTTAGGGGTGGACCACTGATTTCCAGTCTTGGTCCCAACCTTACTAAGCTCACAGAATCTTTTGAGTACAGGCTAAGCTGATGCCTCCGTGTCAAGCTTGGGAGTCTTGGCAAAGCTGGTAGCTCCCTGTACTATGACCACATTCCCTAGGTACTCTGCACTCATTCTTCTTTCTGATCCTACCAAACTTCCCAGAGTTCATGAAGGAGCAGGATATGACTTCTTAGACTCATGGAGCCAAACAAGCCTGCATCTCCTTCCCATCTCAAGAAAAACAATAAGCAAATCTCTCTTCTGAATGTCCCTTTGATAAGTAAAGAAATTGAAGCTCAATGAATTTTGCACCCAAGTTGGAAGAGATAGAGCTGGGACTAGAGTTAGGTGCTGATTCACAGGCCTCCCACTACTTTTGGGGTCTGCAAACTATGTTCAATGAGCCAAATCCACCTCTCCCTTTCACCTGTTTTTTTGTAAATAAAGTTTTATTGGACCATTGCTATGTTCACTGATTTATATATTCGCTATGGCTGCTTTTGCACTACAACAGCATCACTGAGTAGTTATGGCAGATACTTGATGGCCTATAAAGCCAAAAATACTATCTGGTTCTTTACAGAAAAATTGACTACATCATGCCATTTCTGGAACCTCTGCAGGCACTGTTCTAATTCTAACACTCAGTTATTCTAAGACTTTAACTGAAGGGATTCTCCCTAATTCTTAGTGAAATAGAACAAGTTATATCTTGAAAATTAACTTTCTTCTATTATAATGAGAAGTTAGAGAATCTAGTTTGACTTAGCTAGAGGGGATTTCCTGGGGAGGAGGACAAATGGCCAGCTTACAAGATGCTTGGGGGTCCTTTCTTTTTAAGGTCCTTTTTAAAAATTGGGTTTTCCAATTCAGAATTCTGCAGCCTTTATGAATGAATGGATGAACAGATAAATATTGGTATACGCAAAGGAAAAAAGTTCTGGAAGGATACAGACATCTGGTAAGTATTACCTCTGGTGAGAGGAGGAGAGAGAGTTAACTTCACTTCTGCGTTGTGTATGTATAGTATAACTATGTGATTTTCGCAATTGTAAAACACAAACAAAATGACAGGGGGAGTGAGGCTTAAGAGATTGCTTCCCCAGTGGTGTTTAAGAAAGGATGTTTCTAGGATGATGGATGCATCTGTGTTCATAGTGAGACGGTCGACGTAATGACCTCGCTTGCCTCTGGCATAATCCCATGATAGATTGGCTGCCCCAAGCTCCTCAGGCTCTGTGTTTCTGCATGGGCAGAGAGCTGGAAGAAACATTCAGAAGGGAGTAGGGACTACACATTTTTGCAGAAGCAAGAGAATTGCATAGTTGTGTTTAGAGATACAATTGCAACCAGTTTTCCATTTCTGAATAAGCTAGTATGATTAGTATGAAGACTCAATTATGAAACCATTCAAATATCAGAAACTAATCATGGAATAAATGAGCTTTCTCAGAATGGCTGAAACATGTAAAGGGATGGCTGTACTTTTTCCTATTAAAATACGAGTAATACCTGAGCACTGTGACACATTCAAATAATATAGATGTGTATAAAATAAAAAGTGAAGGTGCTCCCTTCAAATCACTGTTATCAGAGGTAGCAACTACATATAATTTGAGGTTGGAACAACATAAACACATTTTTTATTATTTGTCTTCATGTTTAGATCTTTAACTCAGTCATATTTTACAATTATGAAACATGTAAAAAGGGCTCCTTTCAAATTTCAGGTTTATTTTTCTCTAATCTAGCTTGCAGAAAAGAGGTCTCAGGAGATATTTTACCGAGAACCGAAGGGAAATTGCCAGCTAAAGACGCACACCTTCGGGCAGACGCATGTACTCGGCACTTTATATACAGCGCGTGACTTCCTCCTCAAGCGAGTTTTAAACTCCCAATTATAAATAAAGTAACTAGGTATTACGTAACATTACGTGAGGCAAGCGCCCAGTACTGCCAGGATCGCAAGAGACCGGATCAGGTCAGAAGCCGAGAGCAGCGTTTTACATATCAAACGCCACGCCCACTTTCCAAACTCTCGCGACAGTTGTACGTCATCCGGGAGCGCCGGTGGCCAGGACTGTCGCGGGGTCTGCGACGCGCGGAGCTCTGCTCGGAGGTGCTGTCTCACCCGTGAGGCGGAGAAGCCGGCCAGCCCCGCGCTCGATTAAGCCTGCAGTCCCCGGCCTCCTGCCACCATGGAGTACCTCATCGGCATCCAGGGTCCCGACTATGTCCTTGTCGCCTCCGACCGGGTGGCTGCTAGCAATATTGTCCAGATGAAGGATGGTGAGAGGAAGTAGGGGAGGCCCGGCCGGGCCTGGGTATAGGGACAGCCGGGAGGAGTTCGTGGGAGGTTGGGTGAGTAGCGGGGAGGTCTGGGGCATGGAACCTCGACTGCCCTGGTCAGCCCTTGCGTGGTTTTAGAATTAGGAGACAGGCAGACAGGCTTAGGGCCTTGACTTTGGCTCCTCCCAGGGCTCCTGGGTCAGTACTGTGCTCCTGCTTTTGCTGAATGCTTACTAGGCGAGAGTTGCTTAAGGGAACTCAGTTTAAGTGTTTAAGCGCCAGCCCGGCTTCAGGATTCCTAGACCCCCTAGTCTCTGATAGATTTCTTGTTGTCGGTGCTGATGAGGTTAGATTGTGACAGCATAAGGTGGGATCCTGGGGAGAGTGAGAGACTGTGGGACCAGAAACCTGCCGTTTCCCTTCCACTGTCTGTATCTTCCCGAGTCTTAGCTCTGATCCTTCCTTTTCAGGGCACTGGCTACCTAGTTTTCCTTGTACTTAAGTAGCTAGTGGAGTTAGGAAACTGGAACCCCCGTCAGTCATTTGCTTTATGATTTTGTACAAGTTATTTCGCAGTGCCCAAATTTCCTCATCTGCTAAATCAGGATTAGTAACGCCGACCTAAAAAGCTTGTTGAGAGGGTTGAGTTGAAAAAGTTTTGTGCAGATGTTTAACACTATGACAGATACTTGGTAGTAAACATACTGAGCACTTGTATACGTGTTATTTTAAGCAGTTTGCATTAATTCATTGAATCTTTTGAAATGGATGCTGTCACACTGAACAGTTCTGAAGCATAGAGCTTAAGAAACTTGCCTAAGGCCTCAGGTGACAGAACCCAGGTTCAGCCCTATGCAATTTGACTCCATGTTTTTAAAAGATTTTGGTTGCTTGTCTGCGGAATCTTAAGAATGTGTTTTCACGATTCATAGATATCCTACTTTTGAAAAAGTATTAATCTGTTTGCCCAGATGATTTAATGTTCATTTGACAAATAGGTTTGGAGCACCTATATGTCTGTTACAGTACTAGGTGCTGAAGGGATTCAAAGAAAAATAAGATGTGGCCCTTATCTTAGAAGTTACAGTTTAATAAGGGATTCAGATATGTGTACAAATAATTATAACACAAGCTAGAAAATGATGCTGTGTATGAAAAGTACATTCGAACTTCTCAGGTAGAGAAAGCAGAGATAGTTTTTGTCTACTCCAGAGGAAGAAGAGATCTACAACTAGATCTCTAGTTGTAGAGACTAGGGACGGCTTTGAGGACAGGTAACAGTTCATTCTTGGCTTAAGGAAAGAGAAGTTATTAAACTGTTAAACTTTTATGGTATGGGTTGTGTTCTTTAAGTCAAATTACTTTATAAAATTCCATAAGTTTGTAGAAGTTTTACTTGTAAACCATGTTTTCCACAGTAGTCAGTTCGTTTTTTAAGGGTATATCTGTCCATTATTTTGAATACTAAGGCCTTTGACATGCAAGTGAGTTTAGCATGAAGTAGTTTCAGTTCAGTTCAGTTGCTCAGTCGTGTCCAACTCTTTGCGACCCCATGAACCGCAGCACACCAGGCCTCCCTGTCCATCACCAACTCCCGGAGTCCACCCAAACCCATGTCCATTGTGTCAGTGATGCCATCCAACCATCTCAACCTCTGTCGTCCCCTTCACCTCGTGCTCTCAATCTTTTCCAGCATTAGGGGCTTTTCAAATGAGCTTTCCGCATCAGGTGGCCAAAGTATTGGAGTTTCTTTTTTTTTTTAGTATTGGAGTTTCAATGAAGTAGTTTAACAGTAACAAATTCAGTACGTTTATAGGTGTTCTGTTTCTTCATAATAATATATATGAAGCCACTTCAAAAAATAGAATGTGTTTTAAGCCTACTTACATACACAGTACTTTTAGGTGGTATAGGGTATGCAGTGTATTTGGTATAATCCATAAAGGGGTCTAAGACATTAAGAAAACCAGGAAATAAATATCACAAGATGATTTTGTATGATAAAAAGAAGTATCACCAGCGAGTATTAGGTTAGCTTTTAAATTAATGGTTTCAAAAGTAAATCCTTATGGTATTCAGAGAAATCACTGTGGTATAGAAGATGAATTTGAGTTAGTTCTTTAAAAATGCTTGAAAATAATTGTACTTAGCTCTAATTTTCCCCATAGTGTTTTCAGATATAAAAATGTTTATGATAGAAGCTTTGGAATTGTATAAGGACTTTTTCTTACCTTTCATTTCGTGAAGAAACTATGTAGGGTAGGCTGAAAATGAATTAACCTTTTGATATTCATTATTCTTCTGGTATAGAATGAGAGTGATGCTTCCAGTTTTTTTGGTTTGTCATTATAAGGTATTTTGATACTATAGAGAAGATGTTTCCCAGAGATTGCTTGCTTGTTAAAGTGGTGCAAGAGTTCAGTTTGGCTACACGCCACATTTCATTTCTCTTATCTTCTGGACTCTATAGAATTGCTTTTAAATTTCTCACAGTATCTCAGCTCACACAGATTGCTCTTTTTCTTTTCCCCTGAATTCCTGTAGCATGTATAATCTGAACTTCATTGTCTCACACTGAGTATGATAATGTTGTACATGTACAGTTTTCCCCACCTATGAGTTAGGCAGGGGTAGGTGACAGTATCTTCATTTTACACACTTGGAAACTGGCTTAGAAAGGACAGATAATTTGCTCAAGTTCAGACTTGAGCTCAACTAGACTTGCTCAACCCAGGCTACGAAAATCTCTTTGGGTTCCAGTCTAAAGTATTGTATGCTTACATTGCTTATTTTGTTGTCCACTTGTTTCCTGTATGTGGATCTTGTATGTTCTTTTTCAAGGATCAGAAATTGCCTTGAGCTACATAGCCTGTTTCCTGCATGATTTAGGGAATTGCTAGTATCTTCTTTTTTTCTTTTTAATACCCCCTTCACCAATCACTATACAATGCATGTTTAAAAAACACTTTTTTGGCCTTGATTAAGTTCATTTCAAAATTGAACAGTTGAAGAGATTACTGTTTCAAAATTTAGCATTTCTTCTAAGTATAACGTAAATTCTTTGTAAACAGGCTTTCCCCCCCAGATATGAAGCTTTTTTCCTCATTATGACAATAAACATATTAAATAATGTTTTCTTACAAAGATGGTGCATATGAAATATAAACATTATAGGAAATATTCATAAGCATAATGAAAGAAAGAAAAATTGTCCGTACTTCTGCAACTACAGGAACTCAGATGCCAGCAGCATCTAATACTCTTGGGTCTTTTTCTTTGCATAGATAATTTATCTATAAGTGAATTTTTTCTTTCATAAACAGTCTTTAAATCTTTAAAGTCATAGTCTTTAAATCTCCTGTAGCCTTTAACAAATAAAAGTGTTTCAATCTAGGAGTTTCAAGGCAGCTTGATACTATCTGCAGGCACATTTTCTGTGCACTTCCCCGCTAAAGTCTAGGAAACCTTATTACTGGTATCTCCAATTCTCAAATACTTGTAAAGTATTTGACTATAACATTTGTTTTTTAAATCCTGTTAAGAGATTTTGACATTTCAAAAGCTTTCAAACAGGAAGCATGTCTCCCAGCGAAGATTATTCAGCACTATTTGAAAAAGGAAAAGTGAAAGTGAGAGTAAGATAGGGAGATTTAGCTTTTTTCTGAAGCTACGGACTGAATATGGAGTTTTCTTCCTTGGGCACTAATTTCTATCTGAATATTTATTTATCTGTTTAATCTGAATGTGTCTGGTTCAGCTAGATAAGATTAGAGTGTTGAGATTTTTGAGGTATTTTTAAATAGCTTAGTGCAATATTTGTTAGGATTTTTGCTTTGGCACTCACTGTAACTTTCTCTTTGTAAATGGAGTTGGTTTACTTTTTAAGGTGATTTATATTCTCATTTGATTTTTTGTTCTTCCTTGAGATGGTTCCTTAATTGCAGCACTGGTTCTTTTCATATATGCTTTTGTTTATATAATAATTTACATTCCTATTTGTAGAGACATTTCAGGGTTTTGGAATCTTGAGCCGAAGATAATGGCCATTGTCTTGATTCCTTCAGTTGTTGTTCATTGTATTTCAAAGTGCCTTAATGTTTTTATGTGTATTTTCAGTTATCAGCTTTTATATATATTCTCTACCTGAAATTGATGTTAATAAAATATGCAGATGAATTTAACCTGGAGAGTGAAAGAGAGTAATTGATACAGTTGCCCATCAAAGTCTTCATAAAACAGTTATTCATAAAATTCAATATGGTAATTGGTAAACCTGTTTGTAGTTGCTGTGTAATAAGAATAATTTTCTGCTAAGATAATTTCTAACACTGTGTGTTTCTTCTTTGAGCAGATCATGACAAGATGTTTAAGATGAGTGAAAAAATCTTACTCCTGTGTGTTGGAGAGGCTGGAGACACTGTACAGTTTGCAGAATATATTCAGAAAAATGTGCAGCTCTATAAGATGCGAAATGGTGGGTAATACTTAGAATGTGGCTTTGGTGGTCCTGTCTTTAAAGTGTACTGAAAGAGAATATTCTATACTGGCAGTTCTATACATGTGCTCTTATTTTTATTTGAGTCTTACTATTTTTAAAGCCTTAGTTAGATCCTCCTTCTGGTCCTAAGGATTTTCTACAAAAATCCTAGAGCAGAAAAGAGAACTATTACAACACTGATACATGGGGGATAAAAATAACCCCACGTTGAAAAATGAGCATGATGATATGAGATTAAGTGTTAGAGAATGTGACTTGAGCTACAGTGTATATGAAATCTCAGAACTAAAAGACCTAAGTTAGACTTGGTTACTGTTTTTTTATGTGACAAATCACTTATCCTCTCTGGACCTTTACTTTCCTTATCACTAAAATGGCATTATTGGGAATTCCCTGGCAGTCCAGTGGTTGGGATTCTGTACTTCATTGTAGAGGGGATTGGTTCGATCCCTTGTTGGGGAACTAAGATCCCACAAGCTGTGCAGCGTAGTCAAACAATAAATAAATGGTATTTTTATAATAATATTAATGAATAGTATGTATGAAAATGCTTTGTAAACTTTAGACTCTGTGTAATTATAAGAGATTTACCATGTCATAAAAGGGTTCTGCCTTGCCTCTCTGGTAGGTTCTTGTCTAGGGAGATAATCAGAATTTTTGTGAGATATTTTGTGAACTCCCTGTGGCTAATAAACTCTTATCCACTGGTAAAGCCTTCCTGTGAAATAATACTAGCCACTAGCCCTTTGATCCAGGGAAGTTTATATTGATGCTTCAGCAGAAAAGAACCTTCCTTCCAGTTACTTACTTCACAGTGTAATAATACTCTTAAACATAGAACTAGTATAAATTAAGGAAATTTTAATTGTATGTATAAAATCACTGGATATGATCCATTTGTATAGTTTTTTAGGTGGCAAGCTTAGCATCATGTATTCAGTTCTATAAATATTTTTGAGGGCCTCATCCATGTTAAGCCTTCTGTCTAGTACCATAGAGAATTCAAAGATGAATAAGGCTCAGTTCCTGCCGTTAAGGAACCTAAAGTACATGGTATTTAGGTTTAAGCAAGTTTAGAATACTTTTTTTTTAAACTTTTTATTTCCTAATGGGATATAACCAACTAACAATATTGTGATAGTTTCAGGTGAATGGTGAAGGGCCTCAGCAATACATGTACATGTATCTTTTCTCCCTCAGATTCCCCTCCTATTCAGGCTGCCACATAACACTGAGCAGAGTGCCACGTGTAAAATACTTTGTAATAATTATTTTTTAATGACTACTTGTTGTCTGCATGGTCCCCATGAAGGGTCCCAGTGTTTCTGAAGTACAGTTGGTAGAGCAATACTTCCCCTGTCCCGGCCCAGGAAAGCGTGGAGTAATAAACAACAGAGTTTCTGTTATGTAACTCTCAGGGTCTAAAGTCAATGCATAAAAGACAAATTGTATATGGTTAGAATTGCCCTTAAAACTCCTTTAAGTTATATTTTGTGTATGTAACCCTACACAATATGGCTTGTGCATTTAAAATTCAATCAGTTCAGTTCAGTTCAGTAGCTCAGTTGTGTCTGACTCTTTGTGACCCCATGGACTGCAGCACACCAGACCTCCCTGTCCCATCACCAACTCCTGGAGTTTACTCAAACTCATGTCCATTGAGTCGGTGATGCCATCCAACCATCTCATCCTCTGTCGTCCCCTTCTCCTCTTGCCCTCAGTCCTTCCCAGCATCAGGGTCTTTTCAAATGAGTCATCTTTTCGCATCACGTGGCCAAAGTATTGGAGTTTCAGCTTCAACATCAGTCTTTCCAGTGAACATTTGGGACTGATTTCCTTTAGGATGGACTGGTTGGCTCTCTCAGTCCAAGGGACTCAATAACTGAGCCAAAATAAGGGAAAGAAAGAAAATCTATATGCAGATGGTCAGGCATCAGACTTTTCTGCCTTTTAAGATAATTGTGAAATCCTTAGCACTGTTTAGAGAGTTAGAGAATTGACAAGTATTCCTGCTTGTTCAGGGTTGTTTTCATTATAGTTTAACATGTACTAATAGACTTGTAAGGGTGAAATTCAGTAATATATGTGAAAGCACCAAGTGTAAGCTCTGAAACATAATAGCTGTTCAATAAATATTTGTTAGAATTTTAATCTGCATCTTACCTGATGTGATACTGGTATTTTGAACGTTGTAGTCAATAGTCACATGCAGTCTTTCCAAACTGGCATTTTCTTGTGGGTCTGCTGAGTTGTGGGTCATTCTTGTGATTTTTGACACTAGCCCCATTTTATGCTGGAGTGTAAATGTCCAGAGTGTGTTACTAAGGCACATCTGATGCCATTCCTCTGGGCTGTACTTTGCTTGGCATTACAACTTTATTTATAGAGGTTTTATGCTGGAGAGCCTCAATTTTTAAAATGTTACAGATAGTGATAGAAACAATTTTTTCCCTGTGGCTTGTGCTTTTGAAAATCATATTACACTTCTTAATAAAATTACTTCACTTAAAAAAAAGAAAACCTTATAAAGTATGACTGAGGCCATTCTAATTTCCAGCCTGTCTTTCCCAGTATCTTTTTTAAGTAAACTAAAAACATTATCATCTCAAGACCTCTTTCTTTTTTATATATATATAAAACATCTGTATATATTTGTACCTCTTTCCTTCTGCAGAGGAAACCACAGTCTGTTGCTGAATGAATAGCTTAATCAGGGTGATGAATTCAGTCTCACTGTAGAATAGTTACCTTGGTTCTGTTTTATGCCCAGTAATCACTGCCGGTACTAACTAGCTATTTCCCAACTGTTGACAAAGGCTACCCACTCCAGTAGTCTTTCCCTTCTCCAGGGGATCTTCCCAACCCAGGGATCAAACCCAGGTCTCCCACATTGCAGTATCCTGGCCTGGAGAATCCCGTGGACTGTACAGTCCATGGGGTTGCAGAGAATTGGACACTACTCAGCAACTTCCACTTTCACTTTTCAACTGTTGACAACAAGTATGTATCTCTTGTACCAGGTTATGAACTGTCTCCCACAGCAGCAGCTAATTTCACTCGCCGAAACCTGGCTGACTATCTTCGGAGTCGGGTAAGCAATACAGCAAGCAGCCTTAGTGACAGAGAAATCTATGCTTCTTTTCTATTCTTATTACTCACGAGTAGTATTTTACCCTTATTTGGCCTTCCTGAGCCCTTCCTATTGCTATTTGTTATTCTTCAGTCTTGTGGGATTTGTTTTTTCTTTCTGCATAGTTGCTAATTAAAGCCCAGAGGGTGAACATAACAGTTGCAGAGAATTTGGAGGGGGTACACCAACAGGAAGATCTGGCAATGGCCTTTTAATTTTCAGTGTTTTCACAGCAAACCATGTGTCTTAATTCCTGTGGTTGGATTATGTGGTGGTGGAGATGAAACTTTAAAATACTATTATATACAAATTTTATTTTGAGAGTGACCATGTCTCTCTGTGACTCTTCTTGCCAATGCACACAGAATTATTCCTCTTCACTTAGTCTGGCCTTGTTGTTATCTTAGAACTGTCTTTGTTCCGTTGACAGCATGTTAAAAGATGCAACATCTTAAAGATTCAATGAAAAAAGAAAGGGGGAAAAGAGGATTGAATGTATTAAAGATTGTGTAGGATGTGCCAAGAAAGTTTGTATGATCGCTAAAGGTGTGTATTATTCCCTTCCCACAGGGACTCAGTAAATAGAGCTCTGCCATGTGACTTTACCCCCTGTGCCTGTTTACTCATCTATGAAATCGTGATAGCTTCCTAACCCCACAGGAGTGCTAGGATAATGAATGCTTGTAAATCATAATATTTAACATTCATATGACTTTTGCCCAAAGCGTTTTGCTTAATAATTTAATCTACTCACTAGTCTGCGGAGACATATAGTAGTTAATTCTCCATCACTGATAGGAATGAAAAGCATAAAGTGGCAAAGGGATTAGCTGCAGGTCACACAGCAGGTCAGGCAAAAGCTACACTAATGGTACCGTAATTACTGGCCTATTCTGCCTTGACAGCTACTTGGTTTTTCAGTAGTGTTTCTGGAACATAATTTTTTTTTCATCTGTACTTATTTAAGCTGATTTATGACAAATCAAAACAAGTACAGGTTTTGATTTGTTACATATTACAGGTTTTAAAGCAGTTTATTTTCTAGTGTCTAATACTGAATTGAGAACTTCTCAGTAAATAGAATCTCTCTTTGCTAGCTTCGGTTTGTGCAATATGAAAAATTGTGAGGTTTGAAGAGAAGCTAAAAACAGGATGAATTGGGTAGAGGGGATAAATTTATATACATTGTTTTAATCTGGGTGAAAGATCAGTGGCTTTTCTTATTTACTCTTCCCCAAGAGAGGTAAACGGATCAGATACAACCTTCCCTGCTTCTTAGAAGTTCCTGTGGTATTCAGTAGAGAATATACTGTGGCTTGCTGTGTAAAATATCCCTCTGACTTGCCAGGCAGAATTGGAATAAGAATTCCAGCTTTGGGCACAATAAACACTTTGTCTTAAATGCTACAGACATTAAGTGAGTTAAGCTCCTTTTAGAATTGAGATAAGAGAGGCAGTGTGCTTTATGCAAATGTAGTGAATCCGGTTAATCTCCTAGCAGAAATGTTTGATGTCTTAACAAATAAATATCCCTTGTAGACAGTGACATGGGGCTCTAGTAAACATTGATTACCTCTGCCTTGTGCTTCTAGATCCAATCCCTTCTCCGCCACCTTCCAATCAAATGAGATTGTTCTAAAATACTAATTCATATTTCAGGCATTTTTTTATGAGGAGAAAGGTGATGGTGATTTTTCAGTCTTCCCAATAAGTACAGAATTACTAGATTTGGCATTTTTATATAGTCTCACCATTTGACACATGATACTTATTTGAGTCAGCCAGTTACCATGCATAATTTCATGTCTGTAGCTCAAATTGTTTGACCTCCAGTTTGCTATGTGCTGTGCTGTTTGCCAATCTTATATAAATTGGTTCTTTAAGATACAGACAGTTTAGCCTGTTGGTTAAACACAGTATCTGGAATTACACTGCCTGGGTTTAAATCTTTGCCCACTGACTTGCTAGCTGTGTCTTTGAACAAATTCTAAGCTTAATTTCCCTACTTATAAAATAATGGTATCTACTTCATGGAGTTATTATGAAGATTAAATGAGGTAATCATGCAAAGCTGTTAATACAGTGTATGACACATATACCTAATTAATACATTTATTTGATAAATAAATTAATAAACTTGCTTTTATGCTGCTGTTACTGTTTGGTTAAAGAAGCAATTTAATAGTTTCCTATGGGAGATTGTTTCTTGTGCTATTTTAGTTCAACAATCTGCTAGTAAAGAGTGCTATTAATAAGGAAAATAAAATTAAACCAACATTGATCGTATATTATGTGCTCAGCTTTTTTCTAGATTGACATAGTCCAGCATGGTAGCTACTAGTCATATATGGCTATTTAAATTTAAAATAATTAAAATTATCTATCAATAGATGAATGGATTAAAAAGATGTGCGGTGTCTATGTACACACACACACACACGCATGCGCACACAGTTGGAATATTACTCAGCCATAAACAAGAATGGAATCTTGCAATTTGCAACAATATGGATGGACCTAGAGCATACTATGCTTAATGAAAAAGTCAGACAAAGACAAATACTCTGTTACCATTTGTATGTGAAATGTAAAAAACAAAATTAAATGTATATAGCAAAACAGAAGCAGATTTACAGATACAGAGAACAAACTGTTGCTTACCAGTGAGGATAGGAAAGAGGAGAGGCAAGATAGGGGCATGGGATTAAGAAGTACAGACTACTATGTATAAAATAAATAAGCAACAAGGATATATTGTAAAACAGCGAAATGTAGCTATTTTATACCTTTAAATGGAGTATAATTATAAAAATATTGAATCCCTATACTAGACACCTGAAACTGATACAATATTATAAATCAACTATGCTTTAATAAAAAAACTTGCTTCAATTTAATTTAAAATTCAGTTCCTATGTGAAAGTCTCTTGAACTTTGAAAGAGAAATAAACTTTTGTTTCTTTAAAGAAAAGACTTTGGTTCCTCAGTCACAGTAGTCACATTTTAAGTGCTCAATAGCCACTTGTGGCTAATGGCTATCATATTGGAAATTATAAAGTTTGAAAACTAGTGTAATTGAATGATTCCTGATACAGGAGGTATAGCACTAACTCTCCCATGAGCTAGATGAAAAACCTTGGTAGAAAGAACATATGGGTAATTTTTACAGTTTCTTTCAGCTCCAGATAGCATGATTTAAAGATCTAATGTCAAATACTACAAAACTATAGTAATCAAAACAAGGTGATATTGGCACAGAAACAGACATACAGATCAATGGAATAGAATAAAGAGCCCAGAAATAAACCCACGTACTTTCGGTCAGTTAATTTACAACAAAAGAAGTGAGACTATACAATGAAGAAAAGACAATCTTTAGCAAGTGATATTGGGAAAGCTCGGCAGTTAAATGTAAATCAATGAAATCAGAACACTTTCTCACACCACAAAATAAACTAAAAAATGTTTAAAGACCCAAATATGTAACATGACACCATAAAACTCCTATAAGAGAACATAAGTAAAACATTCTTTGACATAAATTATGGCAATATTTTCTTAGATCAGTCTCCCAAGGCAAAAGAAATAAAAGCAAAAATAAAGAAATGGAACCTAATCAAAATAAAAGCTTTTGCACAGTGAAGGAAACCATCAGCAAAAGGCAACCTACGGAATGGGAGAAAATATTTGCAAATGATGTTACTGACAAGGGGTTAATATCCAAAATATATTAACAACTCATAAAACTCAATATTAAAAAAAAATTATTTAAAAAGTGGGAAGAAGATTTAAATACACATTTCTCCAGAGAAGATATACAAGTGACCAACAGACACATGAAAAGATGCTCAACATCGTTAATTATTAGAAAGTGAAAGTCACTCAGTCATGTCTGACTGTTTATGACCTCATGGACTGTATAGTCCATGGAATTCTCCAGGCAAGAATACTGGAGTGGGTAGCCATTCTTTTCTCCAAGGGATCTTCCCAGCCCAGAGATCAAACCCAGATCTCCCACATTGCAGGCAGATTGTTTATCAGTTGAACCATGAGGGAAGCCCAAGAATACTGGAGTGGGTAGCCTATCCCTTCTCCAGTGGGTCTTCCTGATCCAGGAATTGAATGAGGATTTCCTGCATTGCAGGTGGATTCTTTTAATTATTAGAGAAATGAGAAAGGCAAATCAAAACTGCATTGAGGAATCACCTCACACCAGTCAGAATGGCTATCATCAAAAAGTCTAAAAATAATAGGGATTTCCCTGACGGTCCAGTGTTAGGACTCTGTGCTCCCAGTTCAGGGGGCATAGGTTTGGTACCACTCAGGGAACTGAGATCCCACATGCTGCACAGCACCATCAAAAAATAAAAATAATAAGTCTACAAATAATAAATGATGGAGAACATTGGAGAAAAAGGAAATCTTGTACTTATTGGTGGGAATGCAAATTGGTGCAGCCACAATGGAAAACAGTATCCCTAAAAAATTACAAGTTGCCATATGATCCAGCAACCCCACTTCTGAGTATACAGCCAGAAAAGACCAAAGCCTAATTCGAAAAGATACATGTACCCCAGTGTTCATAGTAGCACTATTTACAACAGCCAAGACGTGGAAACAGTCCAAGTACCCATCAACAGATGATTGGTTTAAAAAGATGTGGTATGTATACACAGTGGCATATTACTCAACGGTAAAAGAGAATGAAATAATACCACTTGCAGCAACAGGGATGGGCATAGAGAATATCATATTAAGTGAAATAAGTCAGGTAGAGAAAGACAAATATTCTGTCACTTATATGTGAAATCTAAAAAATAATACAAATGAATCTATATACAAAACAGAAACAGACTCACAGACATGGAAAACAAACACACGGTTACCAGAGGAGAAGGGGAGGCGTGGGGGTTAAACTAGAAGTGTGGGGTGAGCAGAGACCAACTACATAGAAGAGATAA